TAAACTAAGGGGAGGAGCGCATGGTTCCAGAGCTGAAGCATCTGCAGGGATATAAACTAAGGGGAGGAGCGCATGGTTCCAGAGCTGAAGCATCTGCAGGGATATAAACTAAGGGGAGGAGGCACATGGTACCAGAGCTGAAGCATCTGCAGGGATATAAACTAAGGGGAGGAGCGCATGGTTCCAGAGCTGAAGCATCTGCAGGGATATAAACTAAGGGGAGGAGCGCATGGTTCCAGAGCTGAAGCGTCTGCAGGGATATAAACTAAGGGGAGGAGCGCATGGTTCCAGAGCTGAAGCGTCTGCAGGGATATAAACTAAGGGGAGGAGCGCATGGTTCCAGAGCTGAAGCGTCTGCAGGGATATAAACTAAGGGGAGGAGCGCATGGTTCCAGAGCTGAAGCGTCTGCGGGGATATAAACTAAGGGGAGGAGCGCATGGTTCCAGAGCTGAAGCGTCTGCAGGGATATAAACTAAGGGGAGGAGGCGCATGGTTCCAGAGCTGAAGCGTCTGCGGGGATATAAACTAAGGGGAGGAGCGCATGGTTCCAGAGCTGAAGCATCTGCAGGGATATAAACTAAGGGGAGGAGCGCATGGTTCCAGAGCTGAAGCGTCTGCAGGGTTATAAACTAAGGGGAGGAGCGCATGGTTCCAGAGCTGAAGCATCTGCAGGGATATAAACTAAGGGGAGGAGCGCATGGTTCCAGAGCTGAAGCATCTGCAGGGATATAAACTAAGGGGAGGAGCGCATGGTTCCAGAGCTGAAGCGTCTGCAGGGTTATAAACTAAGGGGAGGAGCGCATGGTTCCAGAGCTGAAGCGTCTGCGGGGATATAAACTAAGGGGAGGAGCGCATGGTTCCAGACCTGAAGCGTCTGCAGGGTTATAAACTAAGGGGAGGAGCGCATGGTTCCAGAGCTGAAGCGTCTGCAGGGATATAAACTAAGGGGAGGAGCGCATGGTTCCAGAGCTGAAGCGTCTGCAGGGTTATAAACTAAGGGGAGGAGCGCATGGTTCCAGACCTGAAGCGTCTGCAGGGTTATAAACTAAGGGGAGGAGCGCATGGTTCCAGAGCTGAAGCGTCTGCAGGGATATAAACTAAGGGGAGGAGCGCATGGTTCCAGAGCTGAAGCATCTGCAGGGATATAAACTAAGGGGAGGAGCGCATGGTTCCAGAGCTGAAGCGTCTGCGGGGATATAAACTAAGGGGAGGAGCGCATGGTTCCAGAGCTGAAGCGTCTGCAGGGATATAAACTAAGGGGAGGAGCGCATGGTTCCAGAGCTGAAGCGTCTGCGGGGATATAAACTAAGGGGAGGAGCGCATGGTTCCAGAGCTGAAGCGTCTGCGGGGATATAAACTAAGGGGAGGAGCGCATGGTTCCAGAGCTGAAGCATCTGCAGGGATATAAACTAAGGGGAGGAGCGCATGGTTCCAGAGCTGAAGCATCTGCAGGGATATAAACTAAGGGGAGGAGCGCATGGTTCCAGAGCTGAAGCGTCTGCAGGGATATAAACTAAGGGGAGGAGCGCATGGTTCCAGAGCTGAAGCGTCTGCGGCTTGCTGTTTGTGTCTGCCAGGCTCTGTACCCCAGCAGCTTGGTGGCCACCGGCACAGCTCCCAGTCATCCTAGCCAACCTGGACCGGGAGCTTCCTGCATTACAGCCACTGGTCCGGGCGGTGGCCCTGAGTGAGAGTTCTGGTATTATAGATGGCCTGGTCATACCGGGTAACACCACAGAGTCTATTTTATCCCCATTTTTGCACAAATGGAGAACAAGACATAGGCAAATTGGCTGGCAGACTCAAGGTCACACAAAGCCATTTAGCTCTGACCATGGAGCCTGGTGGCAGCAGGACCCCATTGATTTCATTTGTTTTAAATGACGTCTTGCTTTGATGCAATCTCTAGCCACTAGTCAAAAACCCAAGCTGTCTAGAACTGGGGAGAACAACAGTTGAGCTCCCTGCCTGGCCTTGTTTCATTCAGCCGCAGTTAGGGCACCACCCACACGTCCTGCAAGTCCTTCGGAAGGAGCTGCTGTCCTCGAGAAGTGAGTGCAGTGACTCCTGGGCTGTTAATTTCTTGCTAAGTTATTTAACTGGTGATCAGCTAGCTAGGTGTAAGTCTCAGCTCATTTATTCATTAACCCATTTCCAGCAAACATTCTCTTAGCCTTCACTTGGTTTCATACTCTGCATACAGCAATAAACACATGTCACCTCTACAGGCTGCCACATGTCACATCTACACGCTGACATATGTACCTCTACACACTGACACGTCACCCCTACACGCTGACATATGTACCTCTACACGCTGCCACATGTCACCTCTACACGCTGCCACATGTCACCTCTACACGCTGCCACATGTCACATCTACACGCTGCCACATGTCACCTCTACACGCTGCCACATGTCACATCTACACGCTGACATATGTACCTCTACACACTGACACGTCACCCCTACACGCTGACATATGTACCTCTACACGCTGCCACATGTCACCTCTACACGCTGCCACATGTCACATCTACACGCTGCCACATGTCACCTCTACACACTGCCACATGTCACCTCTACACGCTGCCACATGTCACCTCTACACACTGACACATGTCACCTCTACACACTGACACATGTCACCTCTACACACTGCCACATGTCACCTCTACACACTGACACATGTCACCTCTATATGCTGCCATCTGGCTTTGGACCAAGCGTTTCTAACCAGCCAGGGGTCCTGAAGGCAGCTTTAATGAGTCCCTCAGACTCAAGATAAATGATAAACAGGTGTTTAGTAGGGAACAGATAAGAGTGAACACCCGCCTCGGTCTTCCTGCTCCTGAAAACACAGCCTCTGTCCTTCCCATGCTCTCTGCAACCCAAGAGCTCGAGCCAGCCCCTCCTCTACTTTACAAGGGGTCACTTAGGTACATCTGAAGCCACGCCCCTAAGATTTGGTTACCACTGCAAGTCCACTAGCAAAGCAAGATGCCACTACAGAGTCTTTTTGTTCAATTTGGGGTAGCAATTATGAGAAGGCGAAAGACAGATCTTTTCAGTGTTTTCAGCCTTAGGGGTGGTTAGTTTTGTCAACTCGGTTGGCTGAAGAAACATCTAACAGGCACGCCTAACCTTTTGACATTGTGATGCATATTATTGTCTACCAAGTTCACGCTTGTGCAATCTAATTACAGGCATGAGTGGTGCATGCCTTTATCCCTATCCTTTGCATGAATGTTTCGGTAGGAACCCTCGCTTTGCTGGCACACAGGGAAGAGCCCTCACAGGGTGGGTTCCCACCTAAGCATTCATGCAAAGGGCTCAGAACTCTCACTCAGGGCCACCGCCCGGAAGGGTGGGGTCAGTGTGCATGTAGTAGACGTGTATGCAGGGTAGGTATGTGGATCCGCAGACTCTCTACTTGGTATTCCGGGTGTGGTCAGCCTGTCTCTAGGTGGGTTGACATTTCCCCAGGGGATCTGCATTCCTCTCCTGACTCCCTGTGTGCGTATGTAGCTGTCTTGACCAGAAGGCACGTGCCAGAACTCTTTAGCATTCTGATCAAGCTGTGGGCATGTGAAACTAACTGGACGTGGTCGCATGTGAAACTTGGGAGGGCCTGTTTGTCAGGAAGCAGAGGTCTGTCAGAAGTTTCCGAATTTTACATTTTTAGTGTTTCAGTGATTTTACATGCATTCTCTATACCAGAAGAAATATTCACCAGTTTTATGTATTAAGTAATTAAGTTCAAATAGTTGAATAGTATTTTTTGCCCTAATGAGTAGTTGTTTTAGAAATGAATGCACATTAATTGTGATACATGCCTGTAATCCCACACTCAGGAGGTAGAGGATGAGGAGTTCCAGGTTACCCTGTCTACAAAGTGAGTTTGAGTCCAGCCTGGGCTACATGACACCCTGCCTCAAAATAAACAAATGAGAAATTGAATATACACTGTACTGGTTAGTTTATCATCAACTTCACAACCTCGAGTCACCAGGGAAGAGGAAACCTCGGCTGAGGAATTTCCCAGGTCAGACCCACCTGGGGCCGTGCCCGTAAGATTGTATGGGCCGATAATGGATGTGGGAGTGCCCAATACATATTGGTGATCCTATTCCTGAGCAGGTGGTCTGTAGTGGCATCTGGCCTTGCCAGTGAACTTGTGGTGGCGGCCACACCCTTTGGGTGTGGCTTCAGGTGCAGACATGACCCATTATAAGGCAGAGGAGGGGCTGGCTCACTGACTCTTGGATTGCATAGAGCATGGGAAGGGCAGAGACTGCATTTTCTGGAACAGGAAGACGGCGGTGGTTGTTTACTCCCATCTGTGTGACTGCCTCCCTAATAAACACCTAGTCACCATTTATCCCCGGTCTGGAAGACTCATTTAAACATTGCCTTCAGTGGTCTTGGGCTGAGCATGAGCCGGTGAGTGAGCCGGTTATCAGTCTTCCACCATGGCTCCTGCCTCTGCTCCTGCATCAACCTCCTGCTCTGGCTTCCCTCAGCGATGGATTATGACCTGGAGTGTTAACCAAATAAAACCATCTTGCTTTTAGTCATGGTTTTTTTTTTATCATAGCAACAGAAGGGAAAGAAATACCCTATTTAGTTCTCTAGAATGAAACACGTGAAGGGGACGTCTGTCACGCAGCGGGCACACAGCTTCTCCGTCCTCCAATACTGCCGCCAGCGCTTTCGGTTTCATGTGGAACTGCGTGCTACCTTTCAGAAAAGCAACTGCCAAACTGTGGAAAAAGTGTACCCGGTGTTGGGCTGTGAATTCGTGGGCGGGTGGTGGTTCACACTGCATGGAATTCAAAGACCCCCCATGACACTTCAGTTTAGATTTTTACCTGTCCCGTGCCCACTGTGTTGACTGTGAGGTCCCTTGGCTCACGCTGTGCGAAATGTGGGGGCCCTAGGTAGTGAGGCTGGAACTGGGTACCGCGTTTTGTTTTACACGAGTATTTTTCTGCCTCAGTTTGACCTGGTGTGTGACCGGAAGACTCTGAAGAGGACCTCACAGTCGGTGTTCATGGCTGGACTCCTTGTTGGGGCTCTTGTCTTTGGGCCAGTCTGTGACCGGTATGTGCTGCTGGTCCGCATGCTCTAGGCCCCTGGTTCTGACTCAGTTACCCCCCCCCCAGCCTCGCTAGTCATGAAGTCCACAGGCTGCCTTCCAATGGGCTCTGTGGAAGCCCCATCTCCTCACTCTGAGAGAGCCAAGGACACGGCTGCCTGGGTCTCCCTTGGGCCAGCCCTGGGAAGGCCTCACTTCACAGCCTGCTCTTCCGTTAACTCAGGATTGGCCGCAGACCCTCCCTCCTGGTGCAGCTGCTTCTGTCTGCCATCACAGGCATGGCCACCGCCTTTGTGTCCAGCTTCGAGCTGTATATGGCCCTGTGCTTTGTCTTGGGTACTGCTGTCGCTGGATTTTTACTAAGTACCAATGTCCTCCGTGAGTATCTGGGCCCCAGCGCCTTCTTCCTTAGAGCCCCAAAATTGCCTGTGGGGATGGTGTCAGTCGAGGGCACCTAAAAAGGTCACAGCAAAGTTCCCTGTGCTGGCACGGACTCAGACCTCTGACAGTGGCATTTGGGGATCGCAGGGGTGGGGTGGGGGGTGAGTGGGCAGATTCCGGCTCCGTCGCAGCCTTTGTTCTCAGTTTCAGAATGGGTGGGGCCGTCCTGGAGAACACGAGCCATGGTCCTGGCCCAGAGCAACATTGCCTTTGGGCTGATGGTGCTGGCCGGCCTGGCCTATGGTGTCCGCAACTGGAGACTCCTTCAGATGATAAGCACCGCCCCGGTCTTCCTGCTCGTCTTCTACTTCTGGTAGGGAGACCCTTGTCGGTGACAGCCCACCCTTTGCTGGGACCGCCGTGGCAGGGTGCGGGACGCAGAGCGGGAGCCCGTGGAGCTTGGGTGGGAGGCTCAGTGTGCACTGGAATTCTGCGAGGCCACACGGGGCTCAAGACCCCAGCATCAGAGCCTCGTGTGGTTGACAGGGTTTTACCAGAATCTCCACGGTGGCTCCTCTCCCAAGGGAGGACAGAGGAGGCCAAACAACTGATCCAGAAGGCAGCCTCAGTGAACAGGCGGCTCCTTCCTCCAGAGCTCCTGAGCCAGGTACCTGGAAGCAGACACAGGCTCACCCCTGCCTCCAGCCAGCCTCTGTGCCTGTGTCCCCGCCACTCACTCTGCCTTTCTTCTAGCTGGTCCCCGAGCAGACAGGCCCCTCAGGGAACACCCTGGATCTTTTCAAACACCCTCACCTCAGGAAGGTGACCCTGATTCTCATTGCTGTCTGGTAAGTGCTCAGGTCCTTGTCCCTCAGTGAGGACAGAGCCAGGGGACTGCTGGTGTCACAGGAGGGATGTGTGTCGTGGGAGGGTGGACAGAGGGTCTGTGAATGTGGTGGCCTCTCCCCTGGTATGAGCTCATTAAGCCAGGCTGTTCCTGTAGGTGTGACTTGATGTACACCCAGCAGTGACAAGGACACTTGGGTACCTTGTAGGTTTGCGGACAGTCTGGTGTACTATGCCTTTAGCCTCCAAGTGGGGGACTTTGGCCTGGACATCTACCTGACGCAGGTGATATTTGGAGCAGTGGAGGTGCCCGCCCGCTTTTCCGGCATCCTGGTGATGGAGAAACTGGGTCGCAAGTGGAGCCAGTTAGGGTCTCTGACTCTGGCTGGTGTCATGTGTGTCCTCATCATCGTCATCCCGGCAGGTACCAGGCTGTCGTCCTCCCTACCAGGGCTAGCCCCTCTGCCACCGTCCCCTTCAGGACTAAGGGCTCCCCAGGGCTTGGGTATACCGGGTGAGGCCCGTGAGTAGACAGGGAGGTATGCGGGCTTAGCTGATGGCGTCCTTCCCTCTGTGTGGCTGTCTGCCTTCTCCTCCAGGTCTCCCCACGGTGGTCACCGTGCTGGCCGTGGTGGGGAAGTTTGCCTCGTCTTCTGCCTTTACCACTTCCTACGTGTACACTGCTGAGCTCTTCCCCACCGTCATCAGGTAAGATCCCCTGGGGTGACTGTGGTCCTCTTCCCCCGGGGGAACCCTACCCAACCCTCTGGCCCTCTGCCACCAGCCACAGGCAGCCAGTGAGCTGCCTACAGGCCTGGGCCACTGGAAGTCTAGTGCCGCTCACCAAGGGCACAGAACCCTGGAGGACAGATGGACATAGGCGTGCCATGGCCCTCTCAGAGCCAGAAGGGAGCGCGGAGGAAGGCGTGGCCCGGGAGAGGGGCGCTCAGAAGTGGAGAAGGTGTTTGGGTCTCTAGGAGAGTGGCAGACAGGGCTTGCACGCTAGGCAGGGAAAGGTGGCTGAGACCTGGGTCCTCGCATCTCTGGGGTGAGTGCAGCCTCAGCGTGCTCTGCTTTCCCTAGGCAAACAGGCATGGGGCTGGTGAGCATCTTCTCCAGGATTGGCGGCATCATCACACCGCTTGTGATGCTGCTGGAGCAGTACCACAAGGCGCTCCCCATGCTCATCTTTGGCAGCCTCCCCGTCGGGGCAGGCCTGCTGTGTGCTCTGCTGCCTGAGACACGGGGCCAGACCCTGAAGGACACCATCCAGGACCTGGAGCAGGGGCGTCCCTCACGGTGAGCATGCACTCGCTGGACCTCACGCCAGGAGCCCTGTCCCTAGGGCCAGGTGTCCCGTCACCATTACTCTGCCTGCTGGCCAGCATGGTCGCCCTCGGAACCACTGGTAGCCGGCTGGCTTTAGAGAACATTCCCCCTGCTTTGACAAGGGGAATGGGAAGAGCAGTCGGGGACCACGCGTTAGGCAGCTGCCAACTGTGCTCTGTTCCCTGTAGGTCCCACATCACAGCACCCCAGAGGAAAGGAGTGGAAGCCGCAGGAAGGACCTCGAATATGAGGATGACTGTTGTGAACAGTTCGTACTTCTGACTGTGGCCACTAAGAGCCAGGCCGTCAAAAGCAGAGGACTGCCCACGCCATCTTCTGGGTCTTGTCAGGGCACATAGGGGCACAGGGACCAGACGGCATAGTTTACGTTCCGGAGCCCTACGGAAGCTCAGGGACCATACCCCTCCCCCATCTCATACACCCACCCCACCCCAGTGCACCCCTCCCCCTCCCCATCTCATACACCCACCCCACCCCAGTGCATCCCTCCCCCATCTCATACACCTACCCCACCCCAGTGCACCCCTCCCCCTCCCCATCTCATACACCCACCCCACCCCAGTGCACACCCCCCCATCTCTCATAACACCTCTGTAGTTATGGCCTCGCTGTCCCTTCAGTCTGGAAACAGAACAGAAGCAAACATCTCCCTCCTAAACAAAAGCAGCTCCCACCCAGAGCAGGACACCAGGTAGAGCCAACTGTGGGAGCAGGCTAACAAGGAAAAAAATGTCACGCCACATTTCCCTTAAGATCGTTATCTCCTTCCTGGCCAGTGGCCAGCTTGTGCCTCACATGTGTGAGGCTGGCGAGGAGAGGAGACTGGCCAGCCCTTCCCCCACCGCCTGTGCCGCGATGCCCGGCAGGGGAGGAAGAGAGCAGGGCTTCTGCTTAGCTGCTGTTGGTGGCTACTTCCCAGCATGCCCTGGCTCATCAGCAGTCTGCATCTGATGGCTGCTAAGAGCTGGCTCTGCTACCACGGCACGTTCCTGGCCCACTTTGAGGTCCTCTGTGTTGTTGGCTGATAGGACACCATTCTCCCACCCTTGTTCAGAGATGTGAGTAGTTGCGGACAAGCCTATGATTTATCCTGCTAGTCAGGTTATCTTTAGTGGTTGCTCATGAGCGGCTCGGAAGCTAAGACATCTGGGAGCCCAGAAAGGATTTTACCCAGGCTAGAACTTGTCTCTATAGAAGGGAATCTTAAGGGGCACATGGTGGCTAGCATATGCCAATCCACACGTGTCCTCTAGAGGGCACTGTTGAACAGAGACTAGCCTGTGTACGGGGACAGGTTACTCAGTGCTGTGGTTGTCTTTGTCAAGTATTGCCGGGCAGGGCTACTCCAAATCTGGACCCCAGCCTTCCCATCTTACAGTGAGTGATTTTGTTCAGCATGTGGGAGGCCCCGAGTTCAACTCTCAACACTCACCAGCCCACACGCTTGCACCAAACAAGTGATTCCATAGGGTGCTTTCTTCTGAGATTAAGACCACTATACCAGACATCTTGAATTCTTGGCTTCTCTGTGTCCAGACGCTGAGATGTTGCCGCTCCTCTGGTTAACTGTATCTCTACTTTGACACGGTCCAGAGGGGCCTGGCTCTTATGTCATCCAGGTCCTTTCACAGGTGCAAGCCTGTGTCCTCGGAACTGTGGACCGACATCAGCAGACGACCCATGTCCTCAGTCCTTCTCGGAAGGACTCTGTCCCCTCTGTCTCTGCACAGTCGTGAAAAGCTCTCACAGTAAGGGAACTGGGGGGGGGAGGGCCCCATCCTCAGTGGCGCCTCTTGGCCATCGTATCCCTTTCCTTGACAAACTCAGTCTGCGGAAAGCCCCCTCCCACATCTGGTCCCACCTTTGCACTTCCAGATCGCGTGCCCCATTTTTTTGTAGCTTTCCTACCTGGCTCATGGCTACCCTGCCTGTTCCCTTTGGAGAACTGTTACTGTCTCCCTTTGGAGAAAACCCTTTCCTACCAAAATCTCATATAGATGAGTAGAAGAGAGAGGGTCACCTCACTGTCTCACCACAGCCTCTGTTCTGGTTACCTCCGTGTGACTGTGACTATCATGAGAGAAGGAGCTCAAGACTCCTTTTTCACTTGGGAGGTGCTTATCTGTCTGCCATGTGGACGCTGCGCCTGCGTGGGCCAAAAGAAGGCATCAGTTGGTGCAGCTAGAGTGACAGACCTATGTATGGGAGCTGCCCAGAGTAGGTGCCGGAACAGAAGGGAACTCAGGTGCTCTGGAGGAGCAGCCAAGCCGAGAGCCTAACCGCGGAGCCAAGCCGAGAGCCTAACCGCGGAGCCAAGCCGAGAGCCTAACCGCGGAGCCGTCTCTTCAGCCCCGGTGAAACAACTTTCGAGGAGGAAGGGTTTCTGCTCAGGGTTTCAAATGCTCGTCCCCACGTGTTTCAGCAGAGCGCCATGGGGGTGTGGGGTGTGTGGTGGGTGACGTTTTCCAGCTCTTGACGGTTAGGGAAGAAGGTAAGGAGTGGACTGCAGACCACACACAACTTCCAAAGTTATGCCTCCCGTGACTAGCTTCCTAACTAGGCCCCACCTCCTAAAGTTTCTAGAACCTTTTAAAATAAGACCCCCCAGGTCAGTATCAAATAGTCAACCCATGAAACCCTTGGGGCCACTTCATATTTGAGCTCTAAAGGCGTTGCTAACACTTGGCTTGGTTTGCTCCATTCTTCCCACCTGGCTATCTGCTTGGGTGCCACAACAGCAGACAAGTAGTCTGAGGTTAGGGTGCCAGCGTGGCCAGGTTCTGCACACAGATATGCATCCCCGTTTATCCTCCTCTAGACCTGTAAGTATGGAAGGCCCACCACCTCTCTTGGCTTCCTTGGTGTGTGCGCATGGAGAGAAATTTTTCCTTCCCTCTTCCTATAATGTCACTAATTCCATCTGGAGGGTCTGACCCTGATGAGCATATTTAGGTATGATCTAATTATTGTAGGCATTTTGGACAGATCAGATGGGACAGGTATTCTGGCACTCGGGAGTCACAGAATACTGAGTGTTACACAGCTCAGATGGAAAGGTATCCTGGAGCTCGGGAGCCAAGGAAAACCACAGGCCACAGTAAGCTTAGCAGCTCACAGCCCTACCTCAGGGAGAGGCTTCCCCAGTATATCGGCTCTGCTCCCGCAGGAGAGGGTCTTCTAGCTGGGGATGTTTGCCCAGTGTAGCAGTTTTGCTCAGGCAGGAGAAGGGTTCCTGGTCGAAGTTGCTACAGTTCAGCTCTGCTCCTGGAGTGGAGAGTGGAGAGCCGAGTGTAACAACTCTGCTCTCCCAGGGGAAGGTTTCCCCGGCAAAAGTGTTACAGCCCTGCTTGCTCTGCTCTGCCCAGGGTGGAATCCGCAGCAAAAGGAGGTCTTCACCCAAAGCTCACTGAAGCGGTTTATTGGGAGGGAAGAATCCAGGAGAGTGGCTGCCCTCTGCCAGAGCAGCAGAGGACAGCCTGGTAGCGTGAACAGCCACAAGCTGAACAGACACAGGGTTTATATAGGGCTTCCAGGGTGGGGATTGGTCAGATTTTAGTGCTGAGCTCAGATTGGCTAGAGCTCTGCTCGAGGATTGGTTAGTTTTCTGCACAGGATTAGGGTCAGATTTGGCTCTGGTTTCAGGGCCAAAGTGTGTTTCTTTCTTTGGTCCTTTTTAGCCTTTTGGCTCTAGTTTTAGAACCAGGGTGTGTTTCTTTCACTGGCTCTGATTCCAGGGGCAAAGTGTGTTTCTTTGGCTCTGCTCAGGGTGTGTTTCTTCGGCTGGACCCTTTTCCCTACAATTATGGTCACGACCTCACCTCCACATACCATGACCCAGGGGTAAAAGGTATAGTAAATATGCAACCTGGAGGGAATGCAAACACCCTGCAGCAGCGCTCTTGGTTCCACGGGGGCCTTGTGGTCTGTTGACTCCTCTCCCAGTCTCTCACTTCTCAGGTCACAGGGTAAAGCTGTCCTTCCCACTGCTGCTGAGACAGATTGGTCCTCTCCTTGTTACCAGTGCCTCGCACGTTAATTCTCGCACTCTTTGGCTGTGCCCGACTAGAAAAGCCACACCAGTGTGAACCCAGGCACCTGTGTGGTGGGGGACGGCCTTCTGGGTATGTGTTGTCTCATTGGTTGATGAATAAAGCACTGCTGGCCAACAGGGAAGCAAGATGGGTGGGACGAGGGGTCGAGGAGGATTCTGGGAAATGTAGTCAAGAGTGGAGGGGGGTCACCATGTGATCCTGGGAGGAGACGGAGCAAGTCTGGCATTCTCGGTAAGATAAGGCCTTATAAAAATATAGATTAGTAATTATGGGTTAATAATTAAGCCAGAGCTAGCCATTAAGAAACCACAGCAGAGCGTCCTGCGTGTTCATTTGGGACTGACATTGCTCTGGGACCAGGCTGGCAGGAAGAGTACATGTTACATATGACTTAATTATGCCAATGACTGTCCACTGTGCCAGGTGGTCATCCCAGGCCACTTGACCGACATCATATTGGGAGTAAGACGGTCTCAGGACCTCCCTGTGAGGCTGGCCTTTGCTTTACAGATCCCCGATTGCCATCTCCTGGCTTTTGCTCCACAGAAACCAGGGCCAAAATGACCATCAGTGCTGTATTCTGCTCACATGAGTAGAAAGATCCTCATGCTTACTGGCTTCTTCATACAGCAAGGGAGACAGAAATGGGGATCTAGGGTTTTGTGTGTGTGTGGTGTAATTATATGTGTGCATATGTGTGGCATGTGGGTCAGAAAGTGTCTTAGGGTTTCTGCTGCTGTGTAGAGACACATTTAAGGTAACACGGCAAACACCTTACTCGATAAACCACCTCCCAATCCCTATCGTGTGTGTGTGTGTGTGTGTGTGTGTGTGCGCGCGCGCGCGCGAGCGCGTGCGTGCGTGCGTGTTTAATCAAAAACAAAGCTAATTAACATGTAGAGCTCTTGTATGAAGAAGCTAAGCATCTCTGTGTCATGTGTTCACTGGAACGTCAATCTCAGATGACCTTAGTGCTTTCTGGTGCCTAAAGATGAAGCTAGCAGCAGGACTCACAGGACCAGGGCAGCAGAGACTTGGGGCTTACAGGACCAGGTGGCTCCCCGGCCTGCCTGTTGTCCTTACAACTCGGGGTTTCCACTGTGCCAAATGCCCAGGCCCTCAGCTCCAGCACTTCAGCTGTTAAGATTGGGGAACTCAAGGGAGCCCGAGGGCCTTGGAGCAGCTGCTTCGGTGACCTAGGGACACCCGGGAGGCCTGATGAAGAGAGGTTCTATGTCCCAGACACCAGGAGGATTTCTGTGCCTTCCCAGGTAGGGGAGACTTGAAGCTTCATGAGCTGAGAGTAGCTATAAGGATGGTTCTCTGATAGTGGCTCTTATCTAATAGCAAATTCAGAGAGAGAGAGAGAGAGAGACAGAGACAGAGAGACAGAGAGACAGAGATTGTTTGGGAGTCATGTACCTTCTCTGTCTCTGTCTCTGTCTTACTGTGTGTGTCTCTGTCTCTCTGTGTCTCTGTCTTTCTCTCTCTGTCTCTCCCTCTCTCTTTCTGTGTGTGTGTGTGTGTGTGTGTGTGTGTGTGTGTGTGTGTGTACATGTGGAAGCTAAAGGTCAACACCAGGTATCTTTCTCAATCACTTTCCACCTTATTTTTTGAGACTTGGTCTCATTGGACCTGAAACTCTTTGATTCTGATGGTCAGCTGGTTAGTGAGCTCCAGGGGTTCACCTGTCCCCATCTCATCCCCCTCCCCTATCTGCCCCATCTCATCCCCCTCCCCCACTGCCCCATCTCCTCCCCCTCCCCCATCTGCCCCATCCCATCCCCCTCCCCCACCTGCCCCCATCCCACCCCCCTCCCTCCACTGTCAGACTGGGAATACAGGTGTACAGGGCTGTGGCTGGCTTTCACGAGGTTGCTGAAGATTTGAATTCAGTCCTCTTGCTTATGTGACAGGCACTTTGCCAACTACTGAGCCTTCTCCGTAGCTTCTCATCTTGTTGTATGAGATAAGATCTGTCACTGGGACCTGAGATGTGCCAATCAGGCTAGGCTGACTGTCCAGCTGTCCTCTGGGTTACAACACAAGCTCCCAGCTCTCATATGGGTCCTCTATGACTGTGCTGAGCCCTTGGCCCGCTGAGTTGTCCCCTTGTCTCCTAATTTTTCTCAGCCAGTTTTGCCAGTGTCCTGAGCAGTATTGTGTGCACTGATGGAGATGTCTGACAAGTCTGGTTCCAGCCTCCTTTGTTGTCATTCCTGTTTCTTACCAGGTATCTCTGAGCCATGTCCTAGGGCCAGGGTCAGGGTCCCTCAGGTCCTCTGCTTCCCCACAACAAGTTCAGCCTGGCTCCTGATCCTGTGTTGATTCCCAAGCAAACAGACTGCAGTCTGAGTTCCACTAGCAGAGAAGGGCTCTGGCTCCTGGGGAGGTGGGTCAAACCCGGACAGTTGTACCAAGCTGTCCGATGGAGTACTGTCCTGGAGGTTGAACCCAGGTGTAATGCACAGACAGGTCCCTTGAGGTGCGGGATCAGGGAGGCTTGAAGGACAGCTGACAAAGGGTCAAACCCGGACAGTTCTACCAAGCTGTCCGATGGAGTAGTGTCCTGGAGGTTGAATCCAGGTGTAATGCACAGACAGGTCCCTCGAGGTGCGGGATCAGGGAGGCTTGAAGGACAGCTGACAAAGAGTGGGGTTTCATTTGGAGGGGAAGTACTTTCAATATAGAAGACAGTTTACGTAAACACACAAGGCAGTTTTCACACTTGCCTTAACCAGTTCCAGCCCCAAGACTGCGGCCACTCCTGTGTGTGTGTGGAGTAGAATATGGCCCTCAGCATTCCTAGCCACCCTCTTCACCCCATTGTGACACCATCTCCACAGCCACCAATGGAACCCCAGGGTTCTGATTCCAAGGATATGGTTGGGTCTGGACAAGAGTCAGGTGGGCCCTGGCTTTGGCTTTCAGTCCTGTCTCCAGGGAGGAGGGACTGTGTGTGTGTGCAAGGTGGCAATTATGCTAACATCTGGTAAGTGTGGGGCCACGTTCTCAGCACAGATGTGGACAGGAACATGCCGGGGCCTGTGGGAACTCTGTGGAAAGAGCAGGCTGTCCTCAGCCATTTTCTGTGTGCAGGTGGAGTACTGGACCGTCTGTTCTAGTAGGACCTTCGGGATCAGGGAAGGCGGTGCAGTCAGGAGCCTTGCAGACCGGCGATTCCTAAGGGTGCTCTGTGAGGGGTGCTCAGGGGAGGGGAGGGTGGTCAGGAGCTCTGCAGACTACCAGTCCCTGTGGGTATTTGAGTAATGCTAAATGAACCAGGCCGGCCCTGAAGTTGCCTTGTAGCCTAGGCAGGCCCCAAACTTGTGATTCTCCTGCCTCAGCCTCACAAGCAGTTGGAATTACAGGCCCATTGCTAGGCCCAGCTTCCTTCCTTTATTTTGGCCTTAATTTCTATTATCTTCTTTGAATTTGTTCTCTCACTTTTCTTTTACTTTTTATAATGAAACTTAGTTGATCAATATTCAGCCTTTAATTTTCTATTGAAAGCAGCTAAAGCTATACATTCCCCACAAATTCCCACTTTTTAACCAAGCATACATCTGATACTTCATTGTTATCACTTATAAATATTTTAATTTTCCTTTGATGTTTGAGGCACTTACAAGTTTTTTCCTTAAGTTGTTGAGCTATCTCTACAGTGGGAAGACTCACTGCCAAGGCTATGCTAACCTCCTCTGTCCACCTAAGGACCCCATGTGGTCTCGATGCTTAACAAGCTGTTGTGTGGCAATAACAGGCCTGAAGTGCGTGTCCAGATGCCCGAGAGTGGCCACCACAGTCATGAGGAAGTAGATCACATTGTGCGAATGTCTGTGTGTCAGCATTTGCATCAAAATAGCAAGACTTCCGGAAAGACTAGCACAGTCTCCAGGCAGTGGTGGCACACATCTTTAATCCCAGCGCTCAGGAGGCAGAGACATGCGGATCTCTGTGAGCCTGGTCTACAAAGCCAGTTCCAGGATAGGCTCCAAAGCTACAGAGAAGCCCTGTCTTAAAATCCCAAAAAACGGAAACCAAACCAAACCAAACCAGAACCAACAGAAAACACAATCGATGTAGCATAGTGTTCACCAAAGGATGTGCACACACATCCATGAAGCGGCAGACCTCGGCACCAGGCTCCCCAGACACAGACAACTCAGCAAAGGGGCAAAAGTCACTTAGTGGAGAAAATGTAGTCTTTTCAATGAGTGCAACTATAACAATCGATTGTCTATAGGGAAAATATTAATCTAGATACATCCACCTTTTACAAAAATTAAGTCAGACCATAGACTTAAGTGTGAAACATCACAGTAAAACTTACAGAAGAAAAACGGCAGAAAACCCTAGAGCCTTTGGGTTTGGCAGAGAGATTTTTAGCGGTAATATCAAAACCAAAACGTCAGAGAGAGAAAGAATAGGCATGTCGGAACCTGTTTAAAACTGAGACTGTGTGCTCTACAAAGACCCCAGCTAGAAGGATGAAAAGTCAGAGGCCAAATGAGCTTCGGATAAAGCTTGTATCTCAACTACAGGTTTTTAAATAGGTGGCTGGGGGCTGGGGCAGGGTGGGGTGGGGCTCAGTCGTTAGGAGCAGGTGCTGCTCTCACAGTGGACCCCAGTTCAATTCCTAGCACCCACGTCAGATGGTTCACAACCAGTATAAATCCAGTTCCAGGGGGTCTGACTCCCTCTTTTGGACCCCATAGGCACCTATACTCATGTGCATACACCCACTGATAAAAATAAATCTTTATAACTAGGCAGAAATGACTGATTGTATACAGCCCAGTGGTTGAAACACTCAGCTAACATGTAGAAGATCCTGAGATAAACATACAGAGAAATAGAGATGGGTAGACAGACAGATGGACAAAGAAATTAAGACTTAGGCACAAGAAGAGCAATCCTCTAAGGAGAAAGAGACAGAAAATGAGATAAAAAGACGACATTAGCAGGTGTGACCTACAGTTGTGCCGCTGCAATGGCTGAAGGAAGGTGAACCAATCGCAGCAATTCCTGGCAAGAACGTGCAGCCAACAGATTTCTCATTCCTCGTTGGTGGAATTGCAGAGTCATGTGGTCCACTTGGAAGACAGTCAACAGTTTTGATTTTTGTTTTTTTTACAAAGCTAATCATACTCTCCACGGGATCCTAGAGTCCTGCTCCTAGAGGTTTATTCAACTGCTTTGAGAACTGAAGTCCACACAAAAACTTCCATTGAAATGTTTACAGTGGCCTCCTCCTCAGTTGCCAAACAGTGAAGACAACTAGGATGTCCCTCAGTGGGTGAACGGATAGGTGGACTGTGGCACCTGCGGTTGGGTGACTTTTAAAAACCTTGATGGGATTTCATGGTTGCAGCTTCTCTGACGTTTCTAGGAGATAACATTTCACAGTGGACTTGGTTTCTCTGCACCTCCCTTCTGCTATAGCCTCTGAGCCTCAGGTGTGGGGGTTGTATTGCAGATATAAGAGCTGGGGCTGGACACCACTAAGCCACTGGTCCCTATGCATTTTGATCAGTTGTGGTTTTCTGCAGAAGACTCTATAGATGTGCTGAGAGAAATCTTACAGGGCTGACAAGGAACGACAGGCAACTAAGGCCTGCTGAGACTGAGAGAAATACTTAAGTCTTCCCCAAGGAAGAAGCCCCAAGTTGGATATGCGATACCAAGCGGTCAGCCCTGAGATCATAGATGCACACACACATAGCGCTATGTTGTTTGAGTAGGTTGTATCAATGTGTTTAGGTGTGGAAGTAGAGACCATGAATGTGAGAGTAGAGATCAAGGTGCATGGGAAGGGCTGCAGGGAGGAAGGAGATGGAACGACATGATTATATCTTAATTAAAATGCTATAAAGCCACAGAGAGACACGATGAGCATTAAAAATCAGTATTACTGAAAGCGGGAAGAGCCTGAAAGAGCAGAATGCTGTGCCGGTTCAGCTTCTAGGAAGGGCAGAATCCCCACAACAGACCGATGAGTGCCTCAGAGGGGAAGGAGAGCTGGACACGGGAAAGGTCCTTAGGGAGTGATGGCTGTACCTCACCGAGAGTAAACGTGACACACTCTAAAAGCCACTTAGGATACGAAGGGAGCCTGGGATAGGTGTGACAAATGAATTTAACTGTTATAAATGTATAGATATGCATTCAAGTTTTAAATTTGAATTGATTGATTGAATGCTAATAAACCATTCTTTTTTTCTTGGACTGATTAAATTTATCATTAATTTCATAAAGTGTGTATCTAATTAAAAAACTGACAGAATGGAATTGATAATTCCTATAGCAGTATTTTACTGCATTGATCTTTGGAGGCCCCACAAATCATGTAGGGTACAATTTCTAATTTATTTGTGCTGTACTAGAAAGTGTATATTGCTTGTTTACTTTTGAATGTGGACTCCATGTGTTTGTGTGTGAGTGTGTCTGTGTGTCTGTGCCGTGTGTATGTGTCTTGTGTGAATGTGTCCATGTGGGTTTATGTGTGTGAATGTGTGTGAGTGTATGTGTCTCTGTGTGTGTCTATGTGTGTCTCTGTGTGTGTGAGTGCATGTGTGTGTTCAGGTATATGCATGTGAAGGTCAGAAGAAGATGTCAGATTGTCAGATGGCCCCCTCAGTGCTCCCAACTTTTTTTTTTGAGTCTGGGCTCTCACTTTTTTCTCCAGCTGGACTGGAAACCAGAAAATTCCAGCAATCCTTCTGTCTCCACCCATCTTGTAGCTGGTGTGCAAGCATGTATGCCTGGCCAGTTATGTGGGTGCCGGGCTCAGGACTTCAGTCCTGGGGAAGTGCATCAAGTGCTCTCAACCACGGGAGCTTTCCAGTGTGCCCTCCCGCCCCCACCTTTTGAGGCAGAATCCTGTTCTATAGCCAAGGTCAGCCGTGAACTTCGGATCCTTCTACTACCAAGTTTTGGGATGGCAGGCATGTACCCCCACGGTGGCTGGACAGCTAAGTGGTGTTAGTCTATGCCCCTGCTGAATATATTTTACCTCTTAGAGGGCTTGCATTAGGGCTTTCAGTGCTAGCTCAGGGGCTAGGAGCGCGCCTGCTGTTGGAGGATCCAAGTTCTGTTCCCGGTACCCACCCTGAGGGGCTCACAGTCCAGCGGCAGGGAATCCCACTCCTGCTCTGGCCTCTGAGGGTGCCTGCGTTCACACAAACACTCCCACACTCAGACACACATCCACACACAGATACACACACACACAATGAAAAGCCAACCTGAAGAGTTGACTTCATCACCATGTTGGGGCTGTTGCTTCTCCCTGCCCATTTTTAGTGTCTGCAGTATTTGAAGGGGTTGAGTAGGCTCAGATATTTTAAGGATTTCCATTTTTTACATTCGAAAACTTTTATCTTTGGATAGTAAATCTCTCTATTCCTAGTGATGCCAGATTTTGACATTTTCTTTTTTCATAAAATTGCATATTGTGTAAATGAGTGTTTTGCCCGCACGGCTCTGCACCATCTCTGTGTGTACAGTGCCCACAGAGGTCAAATATGGCTGTCAGATCCCCTGGGACTGGAGTTACAGATGGTCGCAAACTGCCACATGAATGTTGGGAACCAAGCCTGAGGTCTGTGCCAGAGCAACCAGTGCTCTGAACCCCCTGGGCCTTAGCATCAATCTTGGTTTGTTAGTCACTCAGCTGTATCAACTTTCTTATGACTACTGTACCAAGTACAGCCTTCCCATCCCTTTACTCTGTGCCTTTTCTTGTCCTTGTGTCTTCTAACAGGGTGACCAAATTGTCATCCACTTCAAGACATTTTTTATAAGAGGAAAGGGCCAAGGTGAGTTCCTATGCCAGCCCAGAGGACATAGACAAGGTACGCTCCAAGTACACTGGGAAATGCTTATAAGCCCTTTAAACCACGACATGGATTTAATTTCTTAACTTATTAACATTTTAATTAATGTGTAGTAATTACATGTATTTATAGAGTACAGCATTCTAAAACACGTATGCAACATGTGATGATCAGGTTATCCATTAGCATATCCTCTGTCTCAGACATGGAATTGTTTCTTAGCATTGGGAATATTGAAAATGCTGTTAGCTGCTTTGAAATATTCAACTGTTGTCCACCATAGTTATTGTGCTGTGCTAGAGTGCATTAGATGGTATTATTCTTTGATCCAATTGTACCCCTGCCCCTATTAACGATCATCTTTAATCCTTGCCCTTGCCCCTGCCTCTCCAAAGCTCCGGTAGCCACTACTTATTTCTTTGAGATCAACTTTGTCTTCCACACAAATGAGAACACAGGATAATTGTCTTTGTGTATACAACTTCTTTCACTCAGCAGAATGCCCACCTGTCTATCCATGTTTCTACAAATGACAAAATGTTGGTCTTTAAAGTCTGAATGATATTCTATTGTGCATATATATATAGAATAGAGACAGATGATAAATTATAGATAGATGATAGAAGCTAGATATATGAATTATGGGTAGGTAATAGACAAACTATAGATGATAGATAAATGGTAGATAGACATATAGATTAATTGATGATAGATGAATAGATGATTGATGATATATTATAGAAACAAATAGTAGATTATAGATAGATAGATAGATAGATGGATAGATAGATAGATAGATGGATAGATGGATAGATAGACAGGAAGACCACTTGTGTCATAGTGACCAAATAGTTGACAGAAAAAGCTTAAAGGAAGAAAGGTTTATTTTGGCTCAGGGTTTGAGACCTTCTAGTCCACTGCGATTGGAAAGGCAGAATGGAATTCATGGCAGCGGGAACACGTGGCACTTTCTGACCGCAGTGCTGTAGCCCAGGAGCAGAGAGCAGCTAGAGCTAGGGCCAGGCTACAGCCTTCAAATATCTGACCTCAGTGGCCTCCTCGCACCAGCCGGGCCCCAACTCTTGAAGGGTCCACAGTCCCCAGAGACAGCACAGCTTTTAACTTTTGACAATGTGCCTTAACTCAGTTCCCGTGGAGTCAGTGGATTCGCTTTGTCTGTGTATCTTCTCCCCTTTCCTTTTCTGAATTGAACCTTTTTCCCTTTAGTTTACTTTTTTCACTGATTGAAGTGACTGTTAAGTCTGTGTCATGTAAGTATACCTTCAGAGCCTTCACCCTGCATCCTTTTACACGAACACAGACACACACAGAGATACACACATGCACACAGACACACACTCAAACACACACGCACACAGACACACAGACACACACACAGACACATGCATACAGATACAGGCATACACACAGACACACATACATAGATACACACACAGACACATACACAGACATGCACAGATACACACACACATACACACATACACAGATACAAGCACACACACAGACACACATACACAGATACACATACAGACACACACACAGACATACATAGATACAGACACACATACACAGACACACACACTCAGACACACACACTCAGATACACACAGAGATACACAGATACAGATACAGACACACATAGATATACACAGATACAGACACACACACACAGACACACACACACACACAGACATACACAGATACAAACACACACACAGATACAGTCACATACAGAGATACACACATGCACACAGACGTACACTCAAACACACACGCACAGAAACACACAGACACACACATAGATACAGGCATACACACAGACACACATACAGAGACACACACAGACACACACACAGACATACACAGGTACACACACAGATACACATACACAGATACACACAGATAAACATACACAGATACAGGCACACACGTACACAGACACACACAGAGATACACACATGCACACAGACATGCACACAGACATACTCACAGACACACAGAGACGCACACACAGATACAGGTATACAGGCATACACACAGACACACATACGCAGATACACACATAGACACACACACTCAGACACACACACAGACATACACAGATACAGACACATACACACACATATAGACATACACAGATGCAGATACACACACAGATACACACAAAGATACAGGCACACACACATGCACACACACATGCACACACACACACACATCCCTACATACATTCGGAGTCCAGAAGAGGTCACTGGATGTGACTTGGCTGCTGGGAACGGAGTCCCAGCCTTCTGCAAAGCAGCCTGCGCTCTTGGCACTGACCCTCGTATGCAACCCCACCTCTCTCCTCTGGCCTCTGTAGTTTCACAGTCCCCGTGCTACTGAGAACACCTTATACTTGAAATTCTTTTACAGGCTTGTCATTTTGATGACTTGTATTCGCCTCTCTGGCTGCCTCCCTGAGATCTTTTGTAAATTCCATCAGGTTGGGCATCTCGCTTCTGTGCCCTCCTAGTTCCCGGTTGGCAAGGTGAACCCTTAGGCTACCGTGGCTCTTGGCACACTGCATCCAGGCTGGCTGTGCACTTCTCTCTCCTCCACTGAGCACCAGCCTCTGTCTTCTCTAGCGGTGACTCAGCACCCTTCCTTGTCCCTGGGGTCCTGAGACTCCATTGTAGTGTGTTAGCCGGCTGTTATTTGTAAGAGAAGCATTGCGTTTCTTGAACGCATTGATTTACGGTTTTCAAGTTGGAGAAAAGATGTTTCTCCTTGCTGCCTTTTCTGTTTCTCTTTAGACTTTCTGTTCAGACCCATGCTAACTTCCACCTACCAAGTCCTTTTCCCTCTCCACACGCTAGCTGTACGTGCCGGCTCACTAATTGTCGGTGTTGGATCTGTGTGTTTAACTTCCCCTTTTAGTGTTTTCATTTCCAGGCAGTGTGTCCTGAGCGCTGCTCCCTCCCCGCCCGGCCCTTGCCTGCTGCACCCCTGGGTCTCTATGTTACTGCCCGTCTCCCCACTTCAGGGTTCTGCATCCCAGCCTGGCTCCAAACTTGACGGCAAAGGTTCAAGCCATTCCCTTTGGTGCCCAGGCTCCTGCATCAGGTGTTCATTGGTTTCACTTCAGTATGTATTCACTTATTTGAAAGAGGGGATCCCCGAAGCTCTCTGCTACCGTTGATGGTTTGGTGATGCTTCGGATGTGGGAGTAGTTTGTTGTGAGGAGGCTGTCGGAGAGCTCCTGGCATTCGTGAGGAGAACATTCCCTAAAACACGCAACATTTCCATTGCATTAAACATGGGATGGCTGAGCCAGCAGGGATGAATTATACAGACTGAGAGCCTCTGGAAGGGAAGGAAGGGACCATATACTCACGTCCCTTGGCTCCCATCCTGGGGTCTGATGACAGGAAATGGTGACAGGGGACTGACAGCATCCTCTCTTGAACAGATGGAAGACTATAATTCCAAGCCAGCATTCGGATTCCAGAATTCCAGGAATGCAAACCCGCATGAGATTCCCTTTCCCTCCCATTCCTGGTCCTTGGAGATGTTGCTACGCAGATTGAAGGCCATCGATGTCAAGAGGGATGACAAGTTTGCCAGTGTTCTGGAAGCCGTGGGGGAGTTTGGCACATTCCAATGGAGGCTGGTGGCCCTCACCTTCATCCCAAGCATGCTGTCATCCTACTTCATGCTCTCTGATCACTTCATGCTCACAGACCAGAAGCCTTACTGTAACACCAGCTGGATCCTGGCAGTGGGCCCCAATCTCTCCACTGATGAACAGCTGAACTTGACCCTACCCCGAGCACCCAATGGCAGCTTCCTGACATGCCTCATGTACATACCCGTGCCATGGGATCTCGATTCCATCATCAATTCTGGTCTCAATTATACAGAAACATGCAAATACGGGTGGATCTATCCTTACGCTAAGACGCGCTCTCTGATCAATGAGGTATGCTTGTGTTGTGTTGACTATGTACCCAGGAAAGGTGGCCCACTCTGCAGAGGTTCACCAGAGAAAGAAACTGGGGTGCTTGCCCCCCATTCCTGGGCCCCGCCTTTCTTAGTTGAGAATCTAGACTGCATTTTGGCTTAGAGACAGGCTTGCCAGGTTGTGGCCCTTATCTTCTGGTCATGGAAAGACCCCTGGGCACTTAGGGATGGGGCACAGGTAGCTGTGTGTAGGGCATCTTTATTCTGTTCCTCTGTATTCTTTCTGACATCTCAAAGCCCTTGGATCTAAGCCTGGAGGGAGGCAGTAGAGGCCCAGGAGATGGGTCAGCAGGAACCAAGCAGGCTGCACGGAAGCCGGAGAAGGACAAGAAGAAGCTTGTGTCGGGCTTTTCTCACGGGGATTCATGCCCTGAGTTGAAGCTTAGGCCCTTTCAGCACAGAGCTGTCCATGGGAAAAACCCTGAGCTGGAACCCAGGGCCGGTGTTTGTGCCCATGCTTAGCAAACTCCCAGGCAATCTCCTCTCTTGCCCTCTGTGTCTTCACTTTCTCTCTCCAGGGTGAGCTACAGGGTCTACCAGGCGCTGGGCAGACAGGAAGGGCCCAGACGTAACGGAGTGAAGAGACTTCACATGGAACCACCTGTCTCTTTCCCTGGGCGCCTCTGCCTGAGGCAGCGGTTGTCAACCTGCGGGTCACAACCACTTTAGAGGTCAAACAACACTTTCACAGGGGTCTCATATCAGACATTTGAGTTACAATCCATAACAGTAGCAAAATCACAGTTATGAAGTGGCAACAATATAACTTTATGGTTGGGGGGGCAGGGTCACCACAACACCAGCAATTGTATTGAAGAGTTGCGCTTTAGGAAGGTTGAGAACCACTGACCTAAGGGTTCCCCCCCACCCTCCATCCCCCACTGCGCTGGGCCAAGCTCAGCCTGTGTCCCCAAAAGGCTAGGTGTGTGTCGGGGCTGTGAGCGGTGCCTGTGTGTCACCTGCAGTTTGACCTGGTGTGTGGCAATGAACCCAACAAGGAGAGTATGCAGACCATGTTCCTGGTGGGCATCCTGACGGGGTCCCTCCTCTTCGGGCTCCTAAGCGACAAGTGAGTCTCCGCCCATCCCTGGGATGCCCCGCCTCCTTCTCCGCTGGGGGGGGGGGTGGCCAGCCCACAGACTCTGAGTCTCAGTCTGGGGAAGGCAGAAGGAGGGGGTGCTCCAAAGCCCCCGGGGTAACCCAGAGCCTGGCCCGGGAGGTGTGACCCTGGGTGACCTCTCCTCCTCACATCCACAGGATGGGCCGCTATCCAGCCATCCTGGTGTCGCTGCTGGGGCTCCTCATCTTCGGCTTCGGGGCCGCCTTCGTGAAAAGCTTCGACCAGTACCTGTTCTTCCGCTTAGTGATGACCCAGGCGGCCGTGGGCTACGCCATCAGCAGTGTGTCACTGGGTGACTGACCCTCAAGGGGCAAACTGGGATGGAAATGGGTGCGCAGTTCAAGAAGAGGGAGCAGGAGGCAGATGTGGCTGGGAGGGACAGGGTGACACTAGCTTACGGGGAGGCCACAGAGCCCAGCGCAGAAGGAGCAGGAGGCTCCACGCCTGGCTGCCCAGAGGTATGAGGGAGTCAGAAGGGAGTGCTTTTGACCCTCACCCCCCCCCACAGAGCTCTCCTGCACCCCGGATGTTCCCCCCATGCTCCTTGTGTGTCCTGCATGTGGGGAACCAAGGGCGCTGCTAAGCCCTGTCTGTATGTGCTCTGCTTATTTCAGTGCTAGCTGCAGAGTCAGTAGCCAACCTGTTCAGGGCCACGCAGCAGGGAGGAGCTGGGATCTACGCAGGCCTGTGTGACGCTAACACCTCCAGTGTGTACACACCCACACCTAGACTCATTCTCAATGGGCTCTCTGGCACCTCTTCTCATTGGGGGCGCGCCGGAGCACGGCCAAAGGGAACTAACCCTCCGCAGAGCCTCAGGCCGAGGAGACCAAAGCACTAATATGCTCTAAGCAAGTGACTCCTCGTCTCGGCACACGTGAGACCTCTCGAGGTGCCCTGAACAAGTCAGGCGGAAGTTTTAGCGGGAGTTGCTAGGGGGCAGAAGAAATAATGGAAGGGTGCATGTGGGTCCGCAGAGGTTCATGGAGGCACTGGGGGACACGGGGACATTCTAGCTCTGAGAGGCGTCTGACAGCATGGGTCAGGCAGAAGAGATTTTTGTCTAGTCTGAGCCGTCCAGGGCAGGGTGGGCATGCCACCCAGCTGCGTGGAAGGCCAGCGTGGGGACTGTGAACTGACCACAGCGTTGTCCTCATGCTCTCTGTACAGTGACGGAGTGGCTGGTGGGTCATCACCGGGCCCAAGCCATCATCCTGGAGCTCTGCTTCATGTCTGTAGGCGTCCTTTTCCTGTCGGGGTCTGCCTACAAAATCTTCCACTGGAGGCTGCTGTTTCTGCTGGGCGGCGTGCCCATGCTGCCCCTCATCTCCAATATCTGGTGAGCAAGCCAGCGCTGGGCAGTCACAGGGTTGGGGCTCACGGGTGGCAACGGAGGGGTCGAGGAAGGTGTGTGGGAGAGGCGCGGTGGCCTGAGAAGGAGCCAAAGGCGTTCACCGCCCTCGGAGAAGAGCCTGAAGGAAATGCTGTTGGGGCGTTCGTCAGAAAAAAACAGGGGGGGTGGCAGAGGTCCAGGGGTCAGGGGTGGAGAGGTAAGGCTGACAAACTTGGCATGGCCCGGGTCACCTTCTTGAGGTGACCTCACTGGAGAAGAGCCAGAAGCTTAGCACGCGGGATGGAGCTGAGCAAATGGAGCCCCCCAAGAAACGGCCCCTCAGGGGGAAAGGGGAGAAGCTTTTGTGGTCAGCTGAGAGTTGTTCAAGCTATTTGCTGTTGTTCAATGCGGGTGCTACAGGCAGGAATCTAAGGCGTGGGGCTGCGAAGGCAACCACTCATGTAGCAAAACTCGGAGGGACAAGGAGGCGTCCACATGTGCTGGCTCCGTCTGAGGAGAGGGGGAGGCAAGGCTGAGAAGGAGCTGAGACAAATGAGCTGAAACTCTCAACAACTCTGACGGGCTTCAGGGAGTAGAGTTGAGGCTTCGGGGGTGGATCAGCGTGCCTAGGAGACCTGGGGAAGCTGGGACCTGGGACCCCCAAGCCTGCCTGGCTTCAGAGTCCCTGACTGAAACTGCCTGCACCACATGTAACTGTAAAAGATGAGGCGGTGAGTCATATAGCAGGGGACATGTAAGTGGCTTGGGACCTTTCTATTTCTGCAGAGGTTAGGGACCAGCCTCGGCAGTCCTCCAGATATCAGTGAGTGTGGATGGCATATGTCTGTCACGTATCTGGGACAGCTTGACCTTAAGGGTCAAAGGGTTTGAAAACCTTAAGGATTTTTTAAAAATGTTTTTAACCCAGGGCTGGGAAGATAGAGGAACCCAGTGGGCACAGTGTCTGTCATGCAAAAGCGAGGACCTGACTTTTGGCCCCAGCACCCATGTAAAATACTAAAGGTGGTACTGTATGCCTTTAATCCCGGCTAGGCTGGCCAGTCAGTCTAGCATAATGAGTTAGTCCCAGGCAGCGGTGAAAGACTCTGCTTCAAAAACAAACTGGTTGATTCCTGAGTAATGACACCTAATGTTGACTTCTGGCTTCCACATGAGTGCACACGCATGCACACATTGCCACACACACGCACAACCTGTGTGCATGTATACCTACACACACGTGAACATGTATACACCCCCTACATACAACTGCCATACAAGAGTCACTAATGTAATAGGTACATATTATTAAAATCTAAATAATTCCAGGAGGTTTGTGGTGGCAAGTTCCCAGTTTCTTCTCTCTCTGCCCCTGGTTCCTTTCCCAGAATTCCTCACGGAGTGCTAACAGCCTTTCTGCTGGCTGTTGCGTGTACTTAGAGCCAACGCCGTCTTCAGTGGACTGAATTCACTGGGCGTAATCTTCCTCAGCGCTGTCTTCAGATGCGCCCTTTCAGCTAACCCCCCACCCACCCCCATACCTGACAATATCTTGGAGAGGTTCCGTCTCTTTCCACCCACTGTTATTGTAAGAATAAGCGTCCTTTTGATAACTATGAATAGGGGCTGAGGACGAGGATCAGCAGGAGAGAGTTTGCCTAGCATGTGCAAAGCCCTCAGGCTCCATAACTGCACTGAAAACAACAGCAGCAGCTGGACCCCACCCCCGGTGTCTGTAGCAGCCTCCCTCAGTGGAGTCTAAGACTCTACCCTCCTAACATTTCCAACACTGACTGGTTCACAGCTCATACTGTGGGACACACTCTGTTTAGTGGTTTCCTCCAAGGATCCCAAGGCCAGGTCGTGACAGCTTTTAGCTGTGACACTCTCCGTCAAGTCTGGAGGATAGAACTCTTGCCCTTTTAAAAACACTATCTTGAGATTATCATACATTTACATCATTTCCCCTTTCCTGCCTTCTTGTCACCGTTTGAAGACCTTCCTCTCAGTCCCCAGGTTCTTTACTTCTTCAGCCTTCTCTATGCTGTGAGAACTTGTGTCCAGGATCCTCTGAGCTAGGGCTGCCTAAATACACTCTCTAAATACACTGTCCAGCGCTGGCTCTGCGGGCTGAGTGGTGTCTGGAGTCCTCTGGGAGACATGTCTCTGAGTCAAGATGGAAAGACCAGCCCACTACGGGCAGCGACATTCCCTGGCCTGGGACCCAGACTGTATAAAAAGGAAAAAGTACAGATGTGACACGACCAGTAGCCTCAGGATCCTGCGGCCATGACTTCCCCACCATGGTAGACCCTCCAACTGTGAGACCCTCTTCCTTACATTGCTTTCGCCATAGCAACAAGATAAGTCCTGAGACTGAATCGAGCTATGTAATCTAACTGCCTTTGTTAACCTTGGAATGGGTCTTGTAATTTTCCAAGTTCCCGGAGGGGTCTTCCAGGAAACAGTGTTTCAACTTGGAAGACACAGCTGTAACAGTGAGGGTGGGTATATTAATTACAATTCACATTTCTGTGGCAAAATCCTAGACAAAAGCAACGGAAGGAAGGAACGAAGGAAGGAACGAAGGAAGGAAGGAAGGAAGGAAGGAAGTTTTTGGTTGACAGGGTAGGGTACAATTCATCAGGACAGCAGCTAAGGCAGTTGACATGTTGCATCCAAGTCAGTGGTGTGGGTGGGGGAGAGACATGCTCATCTTCAGCTCAATTTTCCCCACATCTTGGGCGGATATTGCCAGCTCAATTAACCTAATTTCTACATTACACCCACCCACCCAGGTGATATTAACTACCACAGGGGATGCAAGCATTTAGTTCCAGTTTGGCGTGGAGTATAAACACAATGCTCTATACACGTACGCTGTGTCCAAGACCAGGTGGGACTCCCCCTGTGTTCTCTGAAGCCACTTTCTTGCAGTTCGGTGCTTCAACCGGCCGTCTGTGGAGTCTGACAGACTGATGGGACCGGGAAAGTGGAAAAGGAGCATTACTTTTTTGATACTTCTCTGTTTCTGTGATAGGACACCATGACCTTATAAAAGAGTTTATTGGAGGCTTAGTTTCTGAGAGTCAGAGCCTGTGACCGTCATGGCAGGGAGTGTGGCAGCAGGCGGGCAGGCGTGGCACTGGAGCAGTAGCTGAGAGCTCACATCTTGATCCACAAGTTTGAGGTAGAGAGGGGAGAGGCTAACTCAGAACAGCATGGGCCTCTGAAACCTCAAAGCCCACCCCCAGTGACACGCCTCCTCTAACAAGGCCACGCCTCCTAATGCTTCCCAAGCAGTTCCACCAGCTGGGGACCAAGCTTTCAAATATATGAGCTGTGGGGCCATTCTTATCTCGACCGCCACATTATCTAAGACAGATGTGGTAGCAGGAAAAGCAGGACCGAGTGAGACGTCACTCATCCTTGTTTTCATGGGGTAGAGTGTTGCAGCCTGGAGAGAGTCCCAGCTCCCTCCCCCCACATACTCAGTGATGTTGAAGAGACAGAGAGGGAGCAGGCTGAGCATCAACCCAAGGATCAGGAGGAGTCTTGCGGCTTGACTTTCCTGGAGAATTAGGAAAGAAACATCTATTCACTCCACAAAAAGACAAAGTCAACCTTGGTGAATGAACGACCCTGTTGGTGTCACTTAGCAGCACGTGGGAACCTCATAGGCAGTTGCATCGCCAAGAAGTCCCTCTACAAGTCATTGCTTACCTCTTAACATTGCACACATTTTAATATCCCAAGATTATTACATAGCAGAGGCAGGAGGGAGCAGTGGTTATAGTCTCGGGAGAAGGTTGGGGGAAGATCTTGTGAACCTCCCACCCTTGCTTTAAGAGAAGATGTTAGCAGCCCCACGACCATAAACCTAGTTATCTGCTATACATTCTGTTGCTTTTGCTGCCACGGCCGTGGGCCAAGGTCTGCTGTAGGTCACTACAGCCCGCTGCTTCATGTGCACAGGTGGAGAGCACTAAGCACTCTCCAACTTGTCCATTCTTCTGCAGAGTTCCCAGAGCCTTGGGGAGGCTTTTGAATGTATGCATTCCTTCACTTGGGCCCGAGGATTGGCCCACACATGCTATAGCCACAGTAGAGGTTGTAGCAACAGATGCTTATTCTCCACCGTTTGACTGAGTCTCTGCAGTAACAACCACCTAACGTAGAAGGAAATTCTCCTTCAGCTGTGGCACTTGGTGGCAATGCAGTCATAAATACCTATGGAACAATGTGACCGGCGTTCTGGATTGGCTTCCCAAAGCAGCAGTAGTCAGGTCCCCACTGGAGTTTATCACTTCCTAAGCCACAAGTTTCTGCCTGATCACTGTAGCAAGCATGGGTCCCCTCCCTCGGAGTGAGCGTTAAGTCCAACATGAAGGTGTAGCAAGCATGGGTCCCCTCCCGCGGAGTGAGCATTAAGTCCAACATGGAGGTGGTTGGTTGCATCTAACTGCTCACACCGGAGCGACGCTGATAAACCCGACCCAGGACCGAGCAAGAGTATTGGTGACGACAGTTCTCTCCCAGGAGCCTGTATAACGCCTTCCAAACCTGTGATCGCTCACCAGTAAGGAAGAAGCTTACAGCTCAGGCTTAGCTCGATTTGTTTCCTGACACCAGAGCATGTGGTATCTTTGGCATTCGGGCCTAACTAGCCTGCCTTGGCATGCAGCTGTGGCAGTGACAAGAGCCCGTATGGTTTTTTGAGGCTTCGGAGACCTCCCTGGGCAGAGCAGTGGGCTTACCCCTCTGTGTGTAAGGTTGGAACTGTCTGACAGAGATAGCCCCTGCCACTCCAATCTTGTGCTCTCTCTCCTCATCATCCAATCTTTCCCTTGAGTTTCAAGGGTTCAAATCCCCGGCGGTGCTCTTCAGCAAAAGATGTAGTTTGTAATCTTCCCCCCACGCTGCTACCTCAAGACACAAAGGCGACAAAACACCAAGCCAGCATTTCCATCTGTCCCCCCTCTTCTCCCCCTTTGCAACGTCTCTGCTTGCCATAGGCAAGTTCCCTCTGGGCAGGCGGCTGCGCTTCTGCTGCGTGTCCTGCAGCCCGCAGCAACAGCAGTGCATCTGCCTCTGCAGTGTCCTGCAGCCCACTGCAACAGCAGTGCATCTGCCTCTGCAGTATCCTGCAGCCCGCAGCAACAGCAATGCGGCTGCCTCTGCAGTGTCCTGCAGCCCGCAGCAACAGCAGTGCATCTGCCTCTGCAGTGTCCTGCAGCCCACTGCAACAGCAATGCATCTGCCTCTGCAGTATCCTGCAGCCCGCAGCAACAGCAGTGCGGCTGCCTCTGCAGTGTCCTGCAGCCCGCAGCAACAGCAGTGCGGCTGCCTCTGCAGTGTCCTGCAGCCCGCAGCAACAGCAGTGCGGCTGCCTCTGCAGTGTCCTGCAGCCCGCAGCAACAGCAGTGCGGCTGCCTCTGCAGTGTCCTGCAGCCCGCAGCAACAGCAGTGCGGCTGCCTCTGCAGTGTCCTGCAGCCCGCAGCAACAGCAGTGCGGCTGCCTCTGCAGTGTCCTGCAGCCCGCAGCAACAGCAGTGCGGCTGCCTCTGCAGTGTCCTGCAGCCCGCAGCAACAGCAGTGCGGCTGCCTCTGCAGTGTCCTGCAGCCCGCAGCAACAGCAGTGCGGCTGCCTCTGCAGTGTCCTGCAGCCCGCAGCAACAGCAGTGCGGCTGCCTCTGCAGTGTCCTGCAGCCCGCAGCAACAGCAGTGCGGCTGCCTCTGCAGTGTCCTGCAGCCCGCAGCAACAGCAGTGCGGCTGCCTCTGCAGTGCTCCCTCAGCTCTGCTTCATGTGTGCCACACCCGGGTGACAACGTAGTTCCTAGCCCATTAGCCTTTTGGGAGACATCTCACATTCGTCAAGGAAGGAATGCTGGCGCATACCACACAGAACAAGGTGGCCATCCCAGGATCTCCTCCAGGGATATCCCACCATGCATGGGGCATCTTTGGTGCTGTTTGTAAAAAGAAATATTGTATGTAGGGGTGTGTCTTGTGTGGCTATGGTGCACATGTCTGCAGGAAACAGAAGTTGTCAGCTCCCCTGGGGCTGGAGTTACAGGTGATTGAGAGCCACCTGATGCGGGTGCTGGAAAGTGACCTTGAGTCCTCTGCAAAAGCAGCGTGTGCTTTTAACCATGGGGCCCTCTCTACAGCTCTCTACGGTTTAGTTGTTTGTTTGCTTGTTTTTTTCTTTTATTGAAGGTTTTTTTTTTTTTGTTTTTTACGAGACAGGGTTTCTCTGTATTGTTTTGGAGGCTGTCGGTCCAGCCTGGCCTCGAACTCACAGAGATCCGCCTGCCTCTGCCTCCCGAGTGCTGGGATTAAAGGCGTGCGCCACCACCGCCCGGCGAAGGTTTATTTTTTTCTCGCATAATATATTGGTTGTTTTTTTTTAACGTGAGTCTTGCTTTGTAGTCTTGGCTAGCCTACTACTACTCTTATGTAGTCCAGGCTAGCCCCACATTTGCAATATTCCTTCCTCTCAGTCTCTAAAATGCTGGGTTGATAGGTATGTGCCCCCATGCCCGCCTCTCGTCAATGTTCCTGTCAAGTCCTGTCGTGTAAGCCCCAACCACTGCGTACGTTTTCCCGACAGATGGAAAAGGCATATTCAGTCACCACAAGTATGAAAACAGATTCATGCGCGTATCCACGTCCCTTGCGTGCAGCCCACAGACAGGTGTATCACCAAGTGCCCCACCCTCAGTCAGCTTTTCACCTTTGACATACGTCTGCATTTCTAAGATCCCGCTGCGGCACAGCCGCGGGTGGAAGGGAATGGACACGGAGCGTTCATCAGCCTTATTGCCACCTTCAGAATCAGCCGTTGCAGAGTTAGTCCTTCTCATTTTGTTGCCACATCCCTGGGCCAAGGAACGCTTGCTGCAGGTCACCACAGACACTCTGCTTCATGGCGGTGGTGGCCATGCCAAGCCCGAGGGAAGTAGCTACACTGTGGCTCTCAGAGAGTGGGTCTGAAGGACGGCACTCAGGTGTGTCCTTGAACCTAGAGCTGAGAGGTGATGGGGGAGTAAGAGACCGCAGGGGAAGGGATCAAGGGGCCGGGCACTTCCACTGGGCAGCGATGGGGGTTGTGGGGGCTTTTGTACGGAGGGCTGGCTTGTCCTATAGGAGCAGAAGGGGTCTTGAGGTCGGTGGTGGCCTTAAAGGTTCCTTGGCCACACGCTGCTACAGATGGCCACAGCTGAGGCATCTCAGCTGGAGGGCCACTGGTCTTTGGGGGCACCCTGGAATTCTGAAGTAAGAGAGAGGTGGACCACACAGGGTCCTCCGAGAATCCCCGCGGTGGCTGATGGTGAAGGGGAAGGTGGAGGAGGCCAAGAAGGTGCTGAGCTATGCAGCTGAGGTGAACAAGAAGACCATCCCTTTAAATCTACTGAACGAGGTAAGAGGCCCCGGGCCAGGAGTGAGGCCGGGGCTGGAGACCCTGGGAAGGCCTCTTCCCTCGCCCTCTCACGGGGCCGTAGTCTACCGCTTCAGGGTGATGACGACAAAGCTATGCCCCACCTGCCAAGGCTAGGAGGTGGCTGGCACCGGGGAAGGGGCAGGCCTCGCCTGGTGTGTGTGGTCAGACGGCAGGCTGGGGTCCCTCTGCCTCTGACTGCTCTTACTGTCTGTAGCTGCAGCTGCAGGGAAAGAAGGTGACTAAAAGCTCCGTCCTGGACTTCTGTACCAATCAGCGCATCTTCAAGGTGGTCTTACCTATGGCCTGTGTGTGGTGAGTGTCGGGGCTGGCTGCAGACTCGGGGACGGCATGGAGGCTGGTCAGGCCAGGGTCGGGTCTCCGTCTCTGTGTCGTTTCTACTGCACAGCTGTTCTCTTTGCCTCTGTCCTGTTCCTCCTAACACTCGATCCTCCCTCTCCTTCCTCCTCTTCCCTCTGCCTCTCTTCCTCCTCCCCTTCCCCCTTCCCCCATCTCCTCCCTCATCTCTTCCCCATCTCCTTCCTCTCTCCTCCTCCTCCTCCTCCCCTTCTCCCTCCTCCCCATCTCCTTCCTCCTCCTCCTCCTCCTCTTCCCTCTCCCCTCTCTTTCTCCTCCTCCCCCTCCCCCTCCCTTGTTCTCTTATTATTTTGTTTCAGGTATTCCGTCAGTTACATCTATTTAACACTGAGTCTCAAGATGAAGGATTTTGGGGTAGACAACTATGTCAGATACGTGATCCCAGGCATTCTGGAGGTGCCGGCCCGGCTGTGTTGCATTGTTCTCCTGGAGTACTTTGGGAGGAAGTGCAGTCTATTCCTGAGCCTCACCTTAGCTACCATCATATGTTTGTTCCTCCTTTTCCTCCCTCAAGGTACAGCATGCCCGGAAGGCTGCCTCCCTAGTGTCTCTTATCTTGGCTAGCCAGCTAAACACACGGGAGTTTGTGTTGTTTGCCCTCCCTGAGGAAGTCCCAGCCCCCCAAGACAGCATGTACTCACATTCAGAGACCCGAGATAGCTCAGGCTATCCAAGTAAGAGTTACCCTTATGTGTGAGGGCAGCTAATCTCTGTGACGTCATTACAGCCCCCACCAGAAGCAGATCCACCGGGTAAATGAGAGAAGATGGTGGCAAAAGTCTTTTTTTTTTTTTTTTTTTTTTTTTGGTTTTAGGAGACAGGGTTTCTCTGTATTGTTTTGGAGGCTATCTATTGGTCCAGCCCGGCCTCGAACTCACAGAGATTCACCTGCCTCTGCCTCCCGAGTGCTGGGATTAAAGGCGTGCGCCACCACCGCCCAGCTTGGCAAAAGTCTTTTTTTAGCTCACGCCCCCCCCCCAGGCCTGGCCTCTCGTTTGCAGCCTTTGATTGGCAAGCATGCACTGTTACCTGTGGCGTCTAGGATGATCTACTCATTGAACATTGGTGATTGCTGTACTGGACCCATGCAGTAGTCTTTCTCAGGGGCTCACTTCCTGGCCTCTGGTACCCAGTATCATCTCCAACATTTCAAAGATCCCTGGGCAGTGAATATGACTCAGTCTGTGGGACTAGAGGGCATAGAACTATGGTGCCCCCACAGATGACCAGTGCCTAGTGGGGGCTGCCACAGTCGGGGGGGCTTGGGGAGAAAGAGACGGACGGGAGGATCTTGGGTTTGCTGCCCAGCCAACCCCACCGAATCAGCACCTTCCAGGTTCAGTGAGAGACCCTATCACCCCTCTCCTCCCCAACTCTCCCACTGTGGTAACTTCAGGACTGGCTGGGCCTGGGTACGTCAGCTCTTCCTTTGCTGAGTGTCTGAGTCTGCTAGTGAGGTGACCAAGCAGTAGGGTGGGCCATTCGGCTGTGTCTGGGAAGGAACAGAAAGACAGCTGGAGGGCCCTAAGGCCGGGCGACCAAAGACTCAGGGCCACGCTGTCTCCACTCAGAGCTGAAGTCGATAATCATCTTGATGCTTGTGCTCGGAGAGTTTTGCCTGGCCGCCACTGTCTCCGTATTTTTCATCTACACGGCTGAGCTCCTTCCTACTGTCCTCAGGTACGGAGTGTGCTGTTGAGGGGGATGGGGCACCACGGGACCGTGACGGAACTGATGTGGCAGCCAAGACTGAGCACTTGCCGGGGAGACAATCACCATGTCAAACGTAGTTCACGTGGACTGGCTCACCCAGGTCTCATCAGAACACAAAACCCGAATGATGTCTGTCACTGACCTCCGTTCGGTTGACAGAATCAAAGGCATGGGAAAGCCCTCCTCGCTCTAAGTCGTACATAGCAGGTAGTGGAGTCGGAGTTTGTACTAAAGGGTGTCTTAGTTCCTTTTCCTGTCACTGTGATAAAATACCATGACAAGCGTAATTTAGGGGAAAGGGAGCTGATTCTGGCTCTCACTTCAAGGGAACAGATCACTGTGGTAGGGCAGGCAAGGCCTCGGGAACTTGAGCAGAGTCAGGAGACGTGGCCGCGCGCACGCCACTGCTTACTCCCTTTCTCCGCTGGCACAGTACAGGGTCCCCGCCAAGGGGACAGCGCCACCTACAGTGGGCAGGTCTTCCCGTGTCAGTTAACCTGGTCCCTGGTGCTCAGAGGCCAGTCTCCCGGGCAGGCAATTCTAGGTTTTCTCAGACCGACAATGAATAACGACCATCACATGGGCCCTGCCTGGCACCTTGTCCTCGTTTGTTTCCTATCGCTGTGACAGACGCCAAGCCCAAAGGCAGTCTGGAGACAGGAGGCTTTGTCTCACCTCACAGCACACCTTCACATAGGGAACTCGGGGGAGGAACCTGGGACAGGAGCTAGGTCAGAAGCCGTGGAGGAGGGCTGCTTATACTGGCTTGTCCCTTGTGGACTGCTCAGCTCGCCTTCTTATACACCCCGGGGAGCACCTTCCCCCGGACAGCTCTGTCCACAGTGAGCCGGTCCCTCCCACATCAATCAAGGAAATGAAACGCCCCCCCCCCAAGACTTGCCTACAGGCCAATCTGACGGGGGCATTTTCTCAACTGAGGCTCTCTCTTCCCAAATGACTCTAGCTGTGTCAAGTTGACACACCACCAGATGCCTGGAACGTGTTTGGGTCACCCCGAGGCTCTGCCTCTTCTCTCCCTCGGGGCTCCTGGTGAGCCCAGGCTACATCCCTTCCTCATATGATCACATGCCGTTACGATGTAAACACGATTAGTGACTCTCTCACTCTGATATCCAAGGAGGAGGCCCAGGAGAAAAAAAAACTACAACTCTTAAGACAACGGGGAACCAGACTCTCCAAGGTCACACACTGGGCTGGAACAGGGGTAAAGAGGAGAGTGTCTGGTTTCAGGAATTGTCTCCCTTTAACCGTTCCCAGCCTCTGAGCCCAAGAAGTCTTCTAAACTGGTTCTCAACTCTGCTTTCAGGTCTACGGGCCTGGGAATGGTGTCTCTAGCCTGGGCAGCTGGGGCCAACACAGCTCTGGCCGTCTCCAGCAAGATCAAAACGCAGCTGCCCATCTTATTCTGCTGCCTCTCTTGCGTCGTCGCCTTGTGCTTTGCCTCCTTGGTGCCAGAGACAGGAACCGACCCTCTCCGTGACAGCATAGAGTACAGCTCAAGGTAGATGAGCAGAGAGCTCCCTTGTCTCAGGCCTGGGTCCTGAAGAGCATGCAGACGCCGTCCTGTCCATCTCGATGACAAGAGGGCCTGTGACATGAAGACCACCCCGTTCAAAACAGTGTCCCCACACCTTCTGGATATGGCTACTAGCCTGGGTCCAGCTCAGGCTCTGCCGGCTCTCTCCCTCTGTTGGGCTCTCTTTGCCCTGCCCCATTTGCCTATCCAGACCAGGGCATTGTCCTTGGAGATGAGGAGTCTAAGGTGACATAAATTCACTCAGTGTTAGGACCTCTTCTCCTAAAGGGTTTTTGAGAAGGTTAAACCCACATTGTAAAAGGTCCAGCATGTGGCAGGCATTGAGTGAAAGCTAGGGACAAACATACCGAGACATTCTCCAGAGTTACAGGGAAGAGACGGGTCTGGTCGGGGATGGGAGATGGAGTCAGCCTGACCCTGAAGAGAAGGCTCCTCCTGGACCCATGGCCGGGCTTAGCTGGGGACCTAGATGAATGAGAAAGTCCATCTCTCTCAGAAGAGGTCATGACTGAAAATGTCTCATGATTTTTTTCAGCATCCAAAGAGATTCTATTGAATCCAAGAGGAGAAGCCAGGACATTGCTTCAATGATAATAGCTGAGGAGTCATTGTCTGACATTGGAAGTGACGAGGTGGAAAAGGATACCATTCTCAATGCCACTCTCCTAAAATCAGAAGATGGCGGGCTCTTGGACACAGCCTTGGAGAAACCCAGCAACAGGGAAGTATCCAGTCCAGATCCCTGAGGACCAGCTTCCCCAGAACATTTTGGATTGGAGTTTACTGGATGAGTGTTGGGGGGGGGCATGGATTCAAGGCCTCAAATTCTAGACCCAGCCTTGCATGTGGACAGAGTCTGTCTTTCTCCAAGGCCAGCCCTAAGGATCCAAAAGTAGCCCCCTTCTGGAGCTAAGTTGTGATTCATTCCAATAAACTATCATGTTGGTCTTGAGATGGTTCGGTCAACGTTGGCTGTGTCGTGACAACCCAGAGTCTGCAGCATACACAGGCATGGGGTGGTGGTTAGATAGGCAACCAAGGCTTTTCAGGATCTTTGGCTAAGTCTTTGGGGACAGCAAATAATTCTCTGGATGGAGTGGGTGTGAGGTGGGCAATATCTCTGAGGTTCCGAGGCAGAAAAGGGGGTTCAGTGATACCTTCTAGCCCAGCGATCGGCTCAAGCCCAGAACAAGGACAAAATTCATCCGGGGGAAGGATGGAATGTGAAGGATTATCGAGAACATCTCTCATTGCTTAGGGCATTCTCACTCTGATCCCTTGATATTCCAAATGAGCACGACTTTAAAGACAACCCGTCTCGGGCTTTATCCTGGGAGACGCCTTCCTGATGACACCAGTGAAGCTGACCTCTAACCTCCCCCACCCCAAGGAAAGGCCCTTGTGACATCTCTGTTAAATCAGTCTAGAATCACCCGGGATCATGCCTACACGGAGAATATCTTGATCAGGTTAGTTGAGGGGGGACACCCGCCTGCTGTAGATGGTAGCATTCCTTGAGCTGGGTCCTGAAATTCATATGAGGAAAGTCAGCTGAAAAGCAGTCGGAGTGCATCCATCCTTTCTGCTTCTCGACTGTGGGTGTCATGGGCTCATCTGTGTCAAGGTCTCCACTGTGATAAACTGCAACCATGAACTATAGAACTATCCGCTGAAATAAACCCGTCTCCCTTAAGCTGCTTCAGTCACGGTGTTGTATCACAGCGAATGGAAAGTAACCATCCTAGTTAGTCCACCTGACACAGCCTAGTTACCTGAGAGGAAAACCTTCGCCAGGGAATGGTTCAGGTGAGATTGTGAGGGCTGCCTTGATTATGAACTGAAGCATGAGGGCCCAGTCTACTATGGGGGGTATCATCCCTAGGCCCTGGGTTGTGTAAAGCCAAGTTTGAGCAGCAAGTGAGCTGGGACAGTGTTCCTGCCCCCAGGTTCCTTCCTGAGTTTCTGCTTAGACTTTCCTTAGTGGTAGATTATGACCTAGAAGCATAAGCCAAATAAATCCTTCCCTTCACAAGTTTCTTTTGGTTGAAAGTTTTAAAGCAACAGAGAGGGAACTAGAGAAGTAACTAGTACAGCACCCGTCCTACAGTCCTCAGAGCCCATTGTCCCCCAGGGTGAGACTGTCCTAGCCAGCTAACATGACTCCTCCAAGTAGGGCAGTCTTCACTAGGTGGACTGGGAAGTCCTGGGTGTCCAGCCGTGACACTACTTCCTCTTTCCCTCTGCAAGCTGTCCTCTAAGTCGAAGCCCGCCTCGTGCTCTCCTCTCTTCCTCTTTCCCTCTAAGCTGTCCTCTAAGTCGAAGCCCGCCTCGTGCTCTATTCTCTTGCCCATTTTGGTTGAAGATCATGAGCCTGTAAAAAAAAATAGCTTTCACCTAACTCTGGAAGCTTCTGCAAGAACCGAGAAGCCTTTAATTCCCACGAAGGCAACACGACAGGCTTTTACACACAACTTAAGGCAGGACTGTCTTTTATACACTATTTTCACCCAGATGTCTTAGTGTAGTAAATGTATGAACTTACATATTAACAGTAAATTCTATCTCCCACAAATATGATTTTGTAATAGAATAAACAGTATTTAACATGCTCACAGGGGGCTAGCTCCTTGTGTCTAAGGACACAAGTTAACACTACAGGTAGTGATAGACCCATAGATGTCAGGGATTGTGTTTCCACTGTCACTGGTGACTGGCTCTGTGGAATTCTCATGTCACAGGCACATTTCAGGGTGTGGCATATTTCTACTACTTCTGAAGTATTAGCTTAGAAGTTACCCCCAGCCCCTGTCCTAGACCACCATCTTCCCATCCCCACACCTCACATAAGATGACTGTTAGCAACTTCTCAAGGAGTATGGGGTCATCTAGGAACACTGCTAGACATACAGGGAGGGCTAACACCCCAGAACATGGCAGCCCCAGTACAGAAGCCATGAGCCATCTTGCTTACTGTCTTGGAAGAAGCAAATTCAAAATCTAGTCAGAAAGATTATCAAACAAGCACGGACTCATAGGGCTTTTTAGGGAAAATGAACTTGCAAACAAAAATTACCATGAAGGTGGGAAAAAAAAAGACAGAAGAGAACAAGCAAGAAATGGAGAGTTGCCAGGCGGTGGTGGCACACACCTTTAATCCCAACACTCGGGAGACAGAGGCAGGCGGATCTCTGTGAGTTCAAGGCCAGGCTGGACCGACAGCCTCCAAAACAATACAGAGAAACCCTGTCTCGTAAAAACCAAAAAAAGAAAAAAAAAAAGAAAGAAAGAAATGGAGAGTTGAGCCTTGGCGAAACAATGACAAATCTCCCAAAAAGGAAGGAGAAGAAGAAGAATGTAGCATCACAGAGAGACAGGAACTAGAACAGGGTTAAACAGGGGTGGGGATAGGAGAGAAGAATGAAGGAGGGAACATGGGTAGGGACAACACACACTAAGGACATTTGAAAAACCGTATGGAAACCTACCATGTGGAAGCTTCCTAAGATATATGCATATATGAAAGCAGACATCTTATGCCACCAAACAAAACCTTGTGTGTGGGAATTAGTTACATCTTGTGAGTCATTGGCCAAAGGAGGCCTGTGGAAAACCCCACACATCGAAGGCTATCGCCAAGACTATTTCTTGCTTCCCATAAGCTGATGGCAAGACCCTATTGCTGAAGACAAGGCTTACGTAGTCGCTGAACATGGAGAAGTTGAGCTGGGGCCTAATCAGGAGCTACAGCACCCTACTAACCAGGAGCTTTGACTCCTACTAACTAGGAGCTTCACCCCCTACTAAGCAGGAGCATCGACCCCTACTGACTGAGTTCATGCTGCTGGAAGGCTACCAGAGTAGAAAAGTCATCATCAGTATCTCCCAGCTACAACCCTGAAACTTACAACAGCAACTTGCCTGCAAAATAGACTGGTGTAACCGTGGCATAACCATTGTAGGAGGAACCAACCATTCTTCTGACTGGATTTAAGGCCCACTTCATGAGTGGGAACCCACACCTGATACTACTAAGGTGGCCAAGAGTCAGACGAGATAGGTCATGGGCCTAGGGGAGAACCTAACACTATTGTTCTACTGTAGGAACATGGCAATAAAATAACTCCTAATGGCATAGTGCTATACCACATAGATCTGTGCCACACTCAGCCCTCACCAGAGAAGCCTCTTCTTACCGTAGATGGGAGTTAATACAGAGGCCCACAGCTGCACAGTGTGAAGAGAGTGAGAGACTTTTGAGCACTCAATCCTACGTGTGGTGTGTTCTTTAAACTCTTCTCCTCAAGGCCCAGGGACCGCTGCAGCAGACGAAGTGGAATTATTATAAGAGCCAGAGGTTACAGATGTCTCCAAGGAAACCATGTGATAGGTGCTTACATGAACTTGGACTGTGGCAGCAGGCACAAGACCTGTGCAGGCTAAGCCAGATTGGGCGCTCCCAACCCTAATCAAGAAGCTCTAATGAAGAAGGTGCCTGTACTTGATACCTGCTGGCGAAGGGGAAATGGGTTTTCCCAGTGGACTCCCAATGGGTATGTCACCTTCACTTCGGAGCGGGTCCTGTGCCCAGGAGTGGGTGGCCAGCACAAAATCAAGTGACTAGTATTTCTGTGGACTTTTTGTTTCATTTTTTCTTTGCTTTTAATGTTCTTTTTCTTATTGGTCTTTTGCTTGCTTGCTGTTTTTGTTTCTGGTGTGTGTGTGTATGTGTGTGTTTTCTTGCTTTTTATTGTTTTGTTTGCTTTTTGAAAGAGAAAAGAAAAAATTTTCCAATGAAAAACATTCAAAGGTGCCTCTTAAGACCCCTACAAGTCTAGGAAAGTACACTATACAGGGGAAACAACAGACACAGCCCAGAAAGCGGGTTGGATATTCTTTAGGGGTTGTATCTTGTATGATGAAGTATGATCCCCCTATCTTTTTTTCTGAGACAGGGTTTCTCTGTGTGGCCCTGGCTGTCCTGCAACTCACTCTGTAGACCAGGTAGACCTTGAACTCACAGAAATCCGCCTGCCTCTGCCTACCGAGTGCTGGAATTAAAGGTGTGTGCCACCAGTACCGCCTGGCTCCCTCTATTATTTTTCGTAACAAGCTTTAAAAAAATCTCTGATGTTACTTTATATCATTAAAAAACTTTCAAATCTGAAAAGTAACATAACATGCCTGTAATTCCAGCACTTGGGAAGTGGACACAGGAAAATATGAGTTCCAGACCCAGTGTGAACTACACAGCAAGCTCGGGTTCAGCCTGAGCTACAGAGTGAAGCAGACTCTGTCTTTAAAATATAAAATAACATATAAACAAGTTTAAAAGTGAGATAAAATGATACATTTTGAAAGAAGTAGGGTTCACTGAGAGCTCCTGGAGTCACTGAGCACAGACCCTTTTTGGGAAAAGGGTTAAGTATTTCTGGGGCGACTGTAGTCACCTAGCCAGAGGCAGTCGTAAACTGCGCAGGCGTGGCCACACCCAGTACTCGTTTGCGCATGTTCTCCATCATGGTATGACATTTCAAGGTTCATTCTTCCGAGACAAGGACATAGAAGAGAGAGGGGCGGGGGAAGGAGCAGTGATCCGGGCACTAGTAGGAAACTCCGGGGAGAATGGGATGCTAACAAGCTGTGAGGTAGCTAGCGGTCCCTCGGGGTGGTCGTGGGGAAATGCCAAGCTCCGTTTGGTAAGCCCGGCAAAGCAGGTTGCCAGGCAGAACCCAGTTTCAGGGCAGCTGAGCACCAGCTCTCCCTAACACAAAGGACACACCACCTCCAGGGATGGGGGACGTCCTTCTGTACATATGTTTCTCTTATTGGTTGATGAATAAAACATTGTTGGCCAATAGGGGAGCGAGATAGGTGGGCCTAGGAGATGAGGAGAATTCTGGGAAATGCAGTCAGAGTCAGACGCCATGTGAAGAGGTCCGACCCTTCTCCTGT